ATGTTTCACAACGCGAGTTATGCTCGATTTTTTGCCAATTTTTGACACACCACGCCAAAAAGGTTGCCCATCACTGATATAGGGCTTCCTGCCTGAGCAGGGGGTTGAACTAGAAGACCTCCAAGGCCCCTTACAACTCTGTGTTCTGTTAAAAAATAGAATTATACAACAAAATCTCAGTGACATTTGAAAGCATTGTAGCATAGTAATTACAATTATTAATCGATTTCCCTTTGTAATATAGCTTTTTTTGCTTCCTCTTTATTTTCCATTGCCCTCTTAGTTGCTTAAGCAGCATTTAAAAAGAAGACAAATTGCACTGTTTTATCAATGGGAGCAAGAACAGTGATCCTTTCCAGCATAGTAAAAAAGTTATTAGGTATATTTTATTATCGATGCAGTCCACACGACTACAGTTATATCAAGAGTGGGGAAATATTCAATGAGATAAACAAAACCTGGTCAAAATGCAAAGGTAATTTATATTACCTACATAGAGAACAGTCTCTGAAATTAGTTTTGAATTACACTCAGAAACGCAATGCATCTACATGAGAAACCTTAAGCATCATGAATGCAACATGTACAAAACAAATATTTCAAATGTTTGATGTTTATTCTCTGGATTCACTACTACCTGAATACAAATAATTCAACCATCCCAAATAATACATTTCCCCCCAGAAATCTCTTTTACAACTACCAGTATTAATTGTCATGGACAAACCAAGCTCATATATTACTTCTTCTTTTTAATTTAAAACATATTTTTTCAAAAAAAAAAAACCTTTCATGTGACTAATTATAGTAGTGTAAAAAAAATTCTGATTGATTTGCATTGTGAAGAAATTTTGGACAGGGGATTAACTAAAAGAAGAGGAAGAAGCACCACCAAATTCTGATTCTCAACTTCAGTTAGAGCTGTTGTGCTTTATTCCTTCCAATTTTTGAAAGCTGAGGACAATCAGTGCTTTCGTTCAAAAAGCCGTTGGTTAGCCAGTACCTTGTCTAAGGTATTCTTCCTCCTGGAGCGAAAAACCTTTCTCCGCAAAAAGGAAGTAAAATTAATTAGTGAGGAAGAAAATAAAATAAAATTTATGAACTTCAAGAAACTGTTCATCTCCTACACTTAGAAGAGAAGGTGAAACTGAGAAGCCAAATTAATTTGACCGTAACTATGCTAGTTTTTTAAAGATGCAATGAAAAGGGTAGGGCTGATTTAGTCTCCTGCAAAAAAAAAAAAAAAAAAAAAATGCCATGGCATTTTTTATTCTGTGGATCTGAAGTTGAAAAAGGCAGAGCTGAAAATGCTTGAAAACTCTACCTTAAAAGTTCTGCGTTTAACATTCAGAAGTCTGGAAGAAAAACGAGGCGGGCGTTCTTTCCAGTGGGGAAACAGATGGTTCTCAACCTCAGCCGAGTTTCACTACTACAAAATGAAATTCTGCTTTCCCCGCCAAAAGTATTTGGATAACATCGCAGTTGAGTCATAAATAAATGAGTTTAGCTGCCAAATTCATCTGACCTCATGGGATGGTTGGTGTCTACAGCTGCTTTTGAACTAACACGATTTATAGTGACCGTAGTTAAGTTTATGGTGAACATACAGGATCGTTATGTAAATTACAAGATGATTTTGCAGTGTGAAAGATCAAACGATTTAATCAGAAAAGCAAATTCACTTCTCCAATTTGAACATGGTTAAAAGGAAAAGCATCAATATACAGAGTATATTATTCTAATAAGGTTTTATTTTCTCTTTAATCCATGGTCTTTGTGAAATTCACAGTCACTGTGCAGGGGTGTCAAACTGGCGGCCCATAGGCCGTATGTGTCACGTGTAGGCCACTCCCGCCCCAGCTCCGCGAAGGGGGAAAACGTTGTGAAACATCATGTGACGCCGCGAGTTTGAAACACGTGATTTAAAAGTGCCTTATATCACAAAAGCAAAAAATACATTTTACTTTTGGGAAATTTTTGCTCAGTTTTCAATTACAGATTTGGTAGAAGTAACTGTTTGACGCAGTAGACAAGGCAACTGTTTTACCACAGAAATGTTATGGAGAATAAGCTAAAACCTTAACATTAGATGACTTTAAGGTATTTGGTGATATATTGGATGACAATCCTATGGCCATTGGTAGGGCTCTCCAGGATGCTAGGAGTTGTAGTCTTCTGATGTTGTTGAACTATAACTCTTAGATGTTCATGTTATGCAGTAGCTGTTGCTTAATGATAGGTCGCTTAGTGACCATTCAAAGTTACAGGCCTCCCACTCCAAAATACTTACAATCTGATTTTGAAGTTCCAATGGCTTACAAACCCACCCACCTCTGGATCATATGATTACATTTTGGGTGCTTGGTAGCTGTTGCATTTACAACTACTTGCAGTATCCCAGGGTCAAATGACTATGATTTTTAATGGTGTTTTTTTTAACCAGTTTCCAGTGTTTACTTCTAGTTTTGCCCCCCCCTCCCCAAATCCTCTGAATAAAAGGAATTTACCTAACAACCATTGGACTCACTTAACAACCAATGCAAAAAAGGTTGTAAAATCAGACACAAACACAAGATGAGCATTTTAATGATTGCAAGAACTTATGACTATCATTCCAGACTCAATTACAATTGTACACTGAGGACTATCTATATAATACAATTGTTACTGAACATCATTTCAAAGGCTTCAGGCTCCCAATCTATCATGGCCTATATGCTTGAGTTTTATGTCTCTCCAATTACATGCTAAATTAGGGTGGAGATAGAAATATATATATATTTATCTCCACGCTTATTATATAACTAGTAATATTAATAGATTATTAATGTGTCATCTGAAGGAAGAACATAGTTCAAAGCACTTAGGCAAAATGCTTTGCCCATAGTTCTTCCCCAAGGTTAGATGTAAGTTAATTTACTTATTTCATCCGGTCTTGTTAATATCTGTCTCCAGATACATAACTTGGCCTTGTAATTATACTCCTTCTGGCCTTTTTACACAAACTCAGGAATCTTAAGTGGAACCCAGATAGGCTGATCCCCTGGGTATTTTTGATCCTGAGAGGCAGAAAATGTGATCCAATATGATATTGTTGGAACAAAGGTTTCTTCAAATTAGGCCATCGTTTAACATATCGATGAAACAAAGTAAAATATTGGCTACTCTGGAAGTTGCTTTATTTCACTTTATAACTGGAATAACAAGCAGTTTGAGTACTACAGAACAGGAAGTCATGTGTATCATTCTTGATAATTAGTTGAAAAAGTGCTTGTTCATAGTATTATTCATCAGCCATAACCTTTGCATGGCTTTTATTAGATAGTTATAATAAATTGAACCTTGAACGTCTATATACTCTTATAATTTAATTTTATTTCTTTATCAAGTGAAACTGTGACTGTGCTAAATTCATTTGTATCGTGTGGTTCCCAACTAGCTGCAGATGAAAAGGTGAACAGAATAATAAAATAATTATTGCACATTTTGAACCAATATCTGAACTATTTTTAGATATAATTTATTGTACTTTACTGGATTATATATTTACAAACTGCACCATATATTTCCGTCCTTTATTTATAGATAAGATGAGATATGGCAAGAAGAGGTAATGTGTTGTACTTTAAGAGAGGGTGATAAGTTAACAAATTGTTTATACTTGTTCCAAGGAAGGTAGAAGTCATTTCTTTATATATTTCTTTTCTTTTCTTTTACTGTGTTCTTATTATTTATTTTTTACTTTTATTTCTTTGCATTTGCTATCTTTTTCTTTTTATTGTTTTAAAAGTTTTTTTTAGTTTTTAGTTTGGTTCTTTTTAATGAAATGTTCTCTGGCAGTGGCTGTCCTCCTGCCGCATCTTAGCTAGAAACCTCCATAAATGCAGGAGAAACCACTATTTTACATTACATTAACTAATGGTTGATGATATAATCCATTCAGTGTTGTCCGACTCTTCTATGGGCCTGGTCTCTCCACATCTACAGATCTTGCATTACTTCTTTGAGTTTTCCTATGCACTGGCTGCTGTCAGCTTTGATGGCACACTAGTTGAGCATTGTTCAGACCTGAAGCAGCTATAGGAAGATGTAAAATTGGATGACAATTTTGTTTTTCTAAAGTGCTGAGTAAATTAGAGAGAAGGAAGATTGGGTGACTGGAGAGAGCAGGTGAAACATGAATGAAATGGCTGGCATAATGACTGGAGAGGTAGCCCTAGGTTAATGGGTAGAAATTAGGGAACGAGATGATTAGCAGAAGAGAAATTAGCAGAAATATACTGAGGGCAGGATCTTTTACAAGTGATTCAACTGAAGAACAGTAATTTTAGAGAAAATTAACTGACTCATTTAAACAAGTACTTTGTTGAAGCAAAAAACAGAATTTGCATTTTGGGCTATGGTCATCATTTTGCATTGTACATAGTTCTGTCTGTCTGTCCTCTATCTTATCTATCATCTACTTATCTATTATCAGTTTCCCCTTCTTTCTTGCATGAAGATGATGTTTAAAGACTAAGCAGTTATTTTAAGATAGAATCCTCAATAATTCCTCAAAAGTTGGAAGACCAACCCCATTCGTGCTCAGCATTATTTTTTCCCCTAATGAATATATAATTAACTACTCTACTCTACTCTATTTTTAAGGATCAAATTCCAATTTCATCCCTTATAAGAAAGATTACCTGTCCTGAGGTTCTGAGATACCTTAGAAAGCCCATTGTATTTGTAATATTAAGTTACAGGTATAAGAGTATTGGAAAAAAGGCAAGTTATAAAGAAAGAAAGATAAATAGATATTTATCTATTAAACAGATATATGATAGGCTGGAAAGAAATATCTAGTTAACTTTCTCTCTAGCCCATCACGTCTGTTTTTTTAGAAGATGTTTTTCATTTTTCAGAAAAAGGTATGCAGAGCTTTGCTGGAAACAGAAGACAATAACATTTCAGATATATATTAAAACGACGTGTCTTCCACCCTTAAAATGATGTCACTGTTTGGTGAAACAGATCTTGGAATTACTTGAATTGCATACTATTAAAAATGCAATAAATTAAACAAGTTCCTATTTTCATAATGTACAGAGCACTGTTTAGGCTAATATAAGTGGTTCCTGTCTTATTTATGATAAGCTGATGTTATTTCAGCCAAAAACCTTTCTGGGTTTTGAGTTTAAGGGGGACATTTCTAAAACCATTATGTGATTTTCTCCCACATAAAAAGTTCAGCTAGTTAGTACAGGAACATTAAAATCATATCAAAGTTGTGATATAGAATTTGTGGCTTTGTTTGTTGGGTTAGACTTGGTGTTAGTACAGTATTGATTTTTTTAAATTAATGGATAAGAGTGAAATATTGCCTTTGACATTAGACATTAAGTAAACACTTCCTCTGTTATATCATTTCCCCATCCACATTAAGGTTCACAAAGTCATAAAAGCAGAATTTTCCAAGATAATAATTCATTTAAGTAATTTATAGAAGCAAAAGGCACTGTATTTGAGTTGTCTGATGGAATGCTGAAAAATTGTACTCTATATTTTTAAGTCATTCTCTCTGGTTAGTAAAACTTTTTAAATTAGGTATTCATGGGAGAGTTTGAGCCTTTGGACACTTAACATAGCATATATTAATGGACCTTAAGTAACCTCCTTTTTGATACATGAACCACTGATTTAGATATTTAAATTTATTTCCTTGAAAGCATCTTTTCTTTCTCTTTTCTCTAGGCGGTTTTGAGTCCACTCATCGCCATTGCACTGAAAATATCTCAGATTCATGAGAGGACAGGTCGTAAGGGTCCTACTGTCATCACCTGAAGGATAATTGCTGACTCATGGCCAAACTCGGGAGGACAAGGAAGAATGAAGACATTGCTCAAACACACCAGTTCTTTGTGCCTTATATTAGTTTAAGGGCTTGGGGTCAGTTGGGAGGGAAGTGAATGGACAAAATTTATTTTGAGTTTCCTTATTAAGAAAAATGTGCACTTGTCTCTTATAGCTTCAGCATCTTCTTGTGGTGCAGATAAGCAAAACCAGGGCTTTCTCTGAATAATACCAAGATTTATTTATAAGAGATTTTTAAAAAAAGATTCCTGTGTTTTGCATTTGCAAGGCAAAAATAGGCTACATGTTTCCTTAGCTAGAGCTGGCTGCAAAACATAGGTTTTTGATGATAGTGTTTTATGACTCTCTCATCATAATTTAAAAAGAAAGCACTCTTACGATAGTCAAGAACATTTTTAAGAGTCCAAAACCAAAATATTATTCTTTTTTTGCCTTATTTTCTAAATCCATCTGGGAGTTATGATGGATTGATTTTTTTTTAAAATAGCAATAGCAGTAGACTTATATACCGCTTCATAGGGCTTTCAGCCCTCTCTAAGCGGTTTACAGAGAGTCAGCATATTGCCCCNTTGAGAACAGAATTCAATCGAGGCCCTCTAGTGGTTAAGCAGAAAAGTGAATCTAGTTTTGTGACATCCATGTCTAGCACTAAACTGGATTTTTGCATGACAGACCACTGCATGTGATCTAGAATGGTCAATAAAGTCTAGTAAGCAGTTCATTAAGGATCAAATTAGTTTTAGGAAATATAAAGAAAGCAGAATAAATCATTCTTAATCTAGTTTTCTCTAGATGGGTTGGATCATAGCACTGACAAATTTAGAGAATTTAAGGCTGAGGAAAACTTGAGTATGATAGCTGTACATTACTATCATCTGCTTTCACATATAGAAGGAAGAGTAGAGATTTAAAATATGAATTATAATATATAAAAAGGAAGAGATAATGAGGGAACCAAGGAAATGAAAAACCAAGGACAGGAAAAAAGTTGTGGAACCTATTTGGTTAGATTCAAACTAAGTCACCTATCCTACTAAGTACCTACTAAATCAATGGGATTTAAGTTTCAAATATCTTAGTTTATTTCAGTAGGACTTAACAAAAACGAATTTAATCCGAGTCTCCCTTAGACGACGGGGTGGTGGTGGTGTAGTTTTCCTAGATTGCTATGGGCCCCGGTACTTAGAGAGAACAAAGTGCAAACCTTAAATGTTAGGTAGGAAACCAACAATTTACGTATATATGTATTCCACTCCAACTCATGGTCTCTACATTTATAGCCTGGTGCCTTAATACGACACACAACTGGCTCTCCGTATGGTTATAAAATTTGATAAGCTTTTTTTTTACTAGATTATGAGATAAAAGTAAATGAGTGAAAACACAGGGCATTTAAACTATGATGTTGGACAACTATATGTAAAGAGAATTCCCTTTACAACTGGATGGGGAAAAATAATAAACAATTACTGGATGTTATCAAAAAGCAGCTAGAATTAAAGCAACACATATCTTGAGACAATTAACTTGACGGGATACCATTTAAGAAATAACTGTGTTTATAGCATGTATAATTAGTGAGTCATTACCAGGGAGGAAAAAAATGAAGCAAATTCAGAGCATGGAATTAAGATGGAAAAGGAGTATACACCAGAGCCAGCTGATGGCCTGATATAGTCAACGCATACCTGTCGATGGTGGTGATGTGACTTTCTTGAAGTCTAGGAATGCCATGTATAATGCTGTGGAACAAGCTGTTGTGCTTGCTGGCTTCATGATAGGTGCTCCAGGAGATCCCAGCAATGAGAAAAAAGAATCCTAATGGTAGAAGAAAATACGCAAGTGGCAAACTGTTGCACTTACACCCAGAGGCGCTTGTAGAGATGCAAAAGGCTCCTAAACAAATAGTTACAAAGCCAAGTAACAGCACAAACAAGCGGACAAATGAGAAGAGGTTTGTGGACATCCTTGCTCTTAATCTCATCATGCTCTGGTTGAACAATTTCTTCTTCTCTCTGCACAGATTTTATATGATCAGAGACTGATTGTCCTTTGGACACGTGTTAAGGTATCCATTAACCATTGTAAGCAGTCATAGTATCTCAGGAGATTAATTTATAATCAAAACACTGCCAAAGAAGAGACAAAAATACTTCCTGTATTGTTTAATTGCCAACATAAACTCAGCAAACCCTTGCTGCCCTATCTTCTCAGGCTTCCTTCCACCAATTTGTTCCAAAGGTATAAAGTGGTTCTTGACTTATTAAAAATAAGTTTTAAAAAACCCCAACAACATGTGAGCCTTAATGCTCTGTTCAAATGGACAAGAAAGATTAACTGTTTGTCTTTGGTTATATGTATTGATTTGCAAGTCGGAGCTATTTAGACTGTCTTTGATTAGTCCTTTCTTATTTTAACATATTCAGCATCAGTCCCGAGGCTGATAAGCAGTTCCACCATTATGCAAGCTGCATCTTGATGTATTTGTAGTGCAGCTTAAATGCAGGGCCAGTTTGCTGTAGAGGGAGATCTTCCCATTAATTCCCACAGCACCTTTTAGGGTATCAAGCATAAATGAAATTTGGCTAGAAATAATGGCAAAGGACAAAGAGAAGAAGAAACATTTCTGCAAGTGTTCTCAGGTGATCGTTTCTACAATTATCAAGCAAAAGGCATTGCACAACCATTGAATCTTATAATAATAATAAGTAGATTCCGCATAAAATCACCACCTTTATAATATCCAAAGATGGAAACAGGATAGGAGCATCACATAATCTTATCTGAAATCACCTTTCTGTAACAAGAAGATCTTGTCCTTGCAACGAATTATCTCATTTCTGTTATAGTTGCACAGGCAATGTAACCAACACCTTCTATGCTTTCCATCGCAATTTGTAGCTGGGGTTGCCTTTATAGATCCTTGAACTGGAATCACGTCCAAGGGAGATATTTTACTATGTAGTCCTCCTTGTGTAAACCACCCGGAAAGCATATATTATCTGCTTTATGAGACACTTCGGAAGGAATCAAGGGCAATGAATGACAAAAACAAATACCACCCAACCGCCAGTGACATCATGACCTGTAATACATCAACTATTTCTAGTTCTGCCTGGACTNTAAGCCATTGGGGGCTTCCCACTCTCTTGTCCCATTGTTTCCTAGCGAGCATCTCTTTCCCTTGACCCCCAAGGTCATTCTCATTTACTATTACATGTAGCATCTTGAAACAGATTTTTTTTAAAAAAAAAAAACAAGTAACAACTACTTCCCATAGAGGTTGTGGATATCTGTTCCAATTTTTGGTCCATAACTAGGAATAGTGAGGTTGGAAATCTTTCCCATGTAATGTTTTGCTGGAGTTGCTAGAATAACCAGTATTTCCCTTTGTGTGGAATGACTTGAATTATTTTGTGCCCAGCCAGTGCAATAATGGATATACTCTTTGGAGAAAAATTAATCTCCAGCTGATACCCAGATAATCTACTAGAATAGGCAGTGCAATCGGACTACAAGTGATTCTTAAATGTTGCATTAATTCATAATGGGATTTATTGTTTTTGCTTTACCCAAATTCACCAATGGTTGCAGAAAAAAGCTATCAGTGAGTCATAAGTGATCTGCAGACCATTTTTCGTGGCATCCAGGATCCCCCAACATTGAGTTGGCAGAAACGTGCCAATTGTAGCAGGAACATTTTTCATTAAAAAGAAAGAAAAGAAAGAAAGAAAGAAAGAAAGAAAGAAAGAAAGAAAGAAAGAAAGAAAGAAAGGAAGAGTAAGTAAGTAAGTACAGGAGTTGTGTTAGCCTCCAGTAGAAAGTCTTGATTTCCTCATCACAAGCTCTACAACCCTTAAAAGCTGAGAAAGTGTTTTACAACGTGTATCTCCTAGCCACAAAGAGGTTGCTCATCCCTGAACTGTGTAGATTAGGTCCCCCCCCCAGCAATCTGTAGTTAAAAATCTTTGCTTACCATCATCTGTGAATTTAGACTGTATATGAAATTTATTACTTTATTTCATTTATTATTAATCTTCTTTACTCCTTCATTTCCCTGTCATCAATATTTCTGTAAATTTACCATTCATTACCATACCTTGTACTTGAACATTGTGATATTAAAGAGTTATTTTTCAGTGTGGGCAGGGTATAAGTCAGTTGGAGATGCATCATGGAAAGAAGTAGGGCTTTATGTAGTGATTTCCTTTCCGGACACATCTGAGGGAACCTGCAGTGCAATTCTAATAGCCTTTTCAGCTTCTGAAACACATGCAGGAGTCATACTTCCTGTACATTGGCAACTGAGGCTATGTATTTTACAAGTTTTATTTTTCTAAGTATTTTGAGATAACCTGGAAAACAATAGAGAATGTTCTGCCAATAAAATACCTAATTATTTGAGGTATTTTGACCACACTATTCAGACTAAAGGGAAGCCCTTCTGCAAAAAAGATTGGATACTTGTAATCACTCAAACCAGAATAAATAGAAGTTATGAGGTAAAAAGTGGAGAGCACCATGATTTTACCGTGTCCAAAAACACTGTGCCATTAAAGCTGTCAACTTTGTCAAATAATTCTGTGTCTAGGATTTTGGCAGCATCGCCTATGCAGGAACTTTATTAAAAATTGTTTTCCCCCTATCATTTCCTCTTTGATAGCAAATGCTTCATCTATGACAGTTTTGAATTAGCTTCTGTTAAATATGAAGAGTAAGAGCAGGTATTGTTAGTAGTAACTCTGTCATAGAGATTACTGAGCAATAATCGTGTTTCAGTTGCCATTTTCAATGAATAATTTGAAATTAATGTACAGAATATTTGCTTTCCATAAAATATGGTTCATATCTCAAGATATTTAACTTTTACTCAGCAGAGCAGTATTGATAAAGATAGATCCTATAGAATCATTTTGAGGGGGGGAACCCAAAGAAAGACTACATAGGTCCCTATATGTTGTAACTTTGAGGTACACCTATGTACATATAGATTCGAAATTAAATTACAATGGAGAGGTTTTAAAAACAATAAGTGTTTTTAGAAATATTTGTTTCAAAAGGACAAGAAACAATGGGTGGAAACTAATCAAGGAGAGAAAACCAACCTAGAATTAAGGAGACATTTTCTGACAGAACAATTTATCAGCAGAATGACTTGCATCCAGAAGTTGTGGGTGCTCCAACCCTGGAAGTTTTAAAGAAGAGATTGGACTACCATTTGTCTGAAATGATATAGGGCNTATAAGCTGAACCTTTTTCTCTCAAAAAAGAGGTTGAAAATCTGTATGGTTCTTATACACTGAATACAGCATTTTTGCCTCCCAAAACCCTGCCCTCTTCACCAAAATGGCCATTCATAGCCTTTAGAAGGCTTCCAGAGTGCTCCTGGGGAGGGCAGAAATGAGCAAAAAACAAGCTGTTTTTTGCTCAATTTCCCCCCCCCCCAACCTGAAAGAGCACTCTACAAGCCTCTAAAGACTATTCATGATCTTTTTTTTGGAGAAAAAAAAAGTGAGCCTGTTTCCACAAAAGGTTTGGGAGGTCTGCGGAGTGCAAAAATGTGCAAAAACGTTTTTTTAAAAATCTTGGTGTATCTTATACTCCAGTTTTATACTCTGAAAAATACGGTATTTTTATAGAAGCAATGGAACAATGTGGTTTTTAAATACCAGCTGCCCAGAGTTACTAGATGTACCACCATATAAATCTCACAAATTAATAAAATAAACCACCACACCGAAATGGCTCTCAATAATATCCCACACTAAAAAAATCAATGGCTAGGATCTTTGAAAGTATATTGTATGTTTCTTATTTTTTAAAGAGAAGAGTAATACTAGAAACTAGATTAATTCTTTCTCAGTCATCCAGATCATGATGGTCCCAAAGTTGCTTTTTCAAAAAGCAACTGGACTTTCTTTGATTAGCTTGAAGACATTTTGCTTCTCATCCAAGAAGCTTCCTCACTTCTTTAGGGATGAGAAGCAAAACGTCTTCAAGCAGAGGTGGGTTCCTACTAGTTCATACCAGTTTGGTAGAACTGGTTCGTCAAATCTACCGAACTGGTTAGAAGAGGTTCCACCAGTGGACCTGGAAAGCAGGCCACAACTACAGAAGAGGTTCCAAAATTTTTTGAAACCCACCACTGTCTTCAAGCTAAATAAAGTCCATATGTATTTTGTAAAAGCACCTTTGGGATTCTTTTCCGTTTTTATTGGATATACCAAAAGTCGACTCTTACATCATGAAATTAAAAATGTAAAATGAGAGAAGGGACAGTTGCACATATGATATGGTCTCCTCCCCTGTTCTAATACATTTATTAATATGGTTTAAATATGTGATTGTATTTATGAACTATGATCCAAAAATATGGAACAACTGTCATTTAACAAATTATGAATTTACCTATCATATTCTTTGGTTCAGATCGTAACATAAACCATACATCTATATGTTCATAAATAACTGAACATATCCTAGTTTGGGTTTTCTTGTAACTATGGAATTCTTGTAACTTGATAATACTTGAATGCATCCTTTCCTAATAAAAATATTTTTAAAAGTAAATATTTTCAGAATTACTTTAATATAAATAGGGATTCAGCATCTTATTTGACTAGCTGTCAGCTGGGCTTGAATGATTAATGGCTGGTGTTTTTCGGTTTAGATTGGCTGCAACATCATTGTTTATTTGTTTAAATTCATGCATCAAGTGAATTGATTTATTCAGAGTCAGGCTTTGCATTAACATTTACCTTAGAGATATGAATAATCCCTCTTCCCCAAATGCTAACATGTTAACATGCTGATTGAAGAAGAGATAAGCTTCATGTTTCAGATTACCATAATGTAAATGCAGTGCTCAAAGTCTCAAGCCAAAAAGGGGCTTGGAGCTGTATATCACATTTATTGGCACTTCCTTGAAGACATTGGGTCTGTTCTCCTAGCACACAGCAACTGTGCAATCCCAACAAAATATAGTTTTCAATTAAGGAACTGCCAACAGCATGCCCACACCCACTCCAAAATGGGACAACTTGCCATGGCCAATTCACCATGGACAAGTGATAAAACTACAGCATAAATATATCATTATATTTTCCTGCGGCAAGTTGGCCGTAGTGAATTGTGGTGAGTTGTCCTAGACTCCACCCACTAGTTGTCCTAGACTAGTTGTCCTAGACTCCATCCACTAGTTGTTCTAGACTCTACCCACTAGTGTGTCCTAGACTAGTTCTCCTTGTTGTGGCCCATCAGTGGCTAGCAGAGCTGGAAGCAGATTCGGACGGTGAGGAGGTTGGGGGGGGAACATGAGCCAGTCCTGGAGTCTGGGGAAGGCTCTGATGAGTGCTCTGCTTGAGAGACAGAGATGGGACCAGGGCCGTCTGACAGTTATCAGCTGCCTTCGGAGTCAGACATCAGTGAGGCAGATGAACAGCTGGAGCCTGTTCCCAGCGTGCACATGCGCAGAGTTGCCAGACGAAGGGAAAAGCTAGGGAACAAGGGTCAACTTGGGAGTAAAGCCACAAGTGGACGGTGAATGGTTCCTCCCATAGGGAATAAAAGAGGAGCGAAAGGCGAGGGGTGTTTGCAAGAGACAATTAGTTCATTCCTGCATTCTTGCCAAGTATTGCAGCATCCGAAAGATATCGCCTGGCCACTCTCCAATCCTGATAAAGGTTGGTAATTGTGAACTATCTTGAAAGACTGTGGGCCGGGACTTTGCTGGAGAGGAATTCACTGTAAATTAAATAAAAGGGGTTTANAGATGCTATGTAGA